CATGTCTCGAATGTGCCACTCTATAATTTTTTCTTTAGTCTTATCATAACGATATGGCTTCTGGTGAACTGGCAGTGAATCTCCTGTGTCGATTTCATGATTTGTAACTTGCGTAAATTTGGGACTATCACTGAATAAAGTAGAAAATTCACTTGCCACTTGGCGAATTTTTTCTTGCGCTCCCATAGGCAGGTGGTGGCGATTTAATGTAGGGAGTTCCGTTTTTACTTTCAGCACTGGTTTCATGGTCAGCTTAAGGGACGCTTGGATGAAATCAAGCGTTGCTTCGGCCTCTGAAAGAAAGCCTATCCCTAAAATAATGTGTGCTTGCAGATTTCTTAAGATAAAGAACATAACTTTTACCTGCTCCTCCTTAATACGTACGTAGAGTGGTACTTTACCTATGCATTTACATCGTCCCCCCTGGGCAGCTAGCACCATCGTATTATCCGAATTATATATTTTATATTTACGAAAGTATTTCCTAAAAAAATCTGCCACGCAGGAACACTGCGCGCCTGTGTCCAGGAGTGCGATGGCTGGAATATTGTTCACCCATCCTTCAATCTTCGAAAGAACCAAATTTTTTACACTCACTGTATTGAACTTGAAAGAAGAGGGATTTTCTTGGCCTTCGGACTTCCACACACTCCCGTCAGCAGAAATCTGTTTCAGTTTAAATCTCCTTTCTTGTTTCTCAGACCTTTCTTCTTTTCCGCTGGCCTTCAAACTTTTTTCTGACTTATTATTGAATTGTTGACGTTCGCCGATTGCTTTTGAATACTCAGGTTTCTTTGACGACTCATTCGACTTGCTTCCGTAGCCGTGATCTTGCCTCTGCTGTGGTCTTGGCGTACCAAATTGGCTTCGTTGCTCGTACTGGCGTCTTCTTTCAATGTCCGCCGTTCTTCTGCATTCAAACTGGACTGCAAGCTCGAACAACTTATCCAAAGGCGTGGGATTCCTTAATTCAATAAAGTCTTGCACTTGAGAAAGTAACCTAGGCAAAATACCTTGTATTATTTCAGGATCCGGCCGGCTTCCGTACAAAAGCTTAAATAATTTTATTTTCCGTAAAATAAAACTTAACAGATCTTCAACTCTTTGCTGATATGTGCTGAAGAGTTCCGCTTCTAATTTCGTACGATTCTTTAGGACAGGATAGGCCTTTACTAAGGCAGTCTTGAAATTTTCGTAAGTGTAGGTGGGAGTTCCCAGTTAGCCCAAGAAATTTTTCCAATGCCCTTGAACCAATTAAGCGCTTGACCCCTCAAAGCACTGGTAGCTAAGGTGACTTTCTGGAACTCATGGACTGGATACAGCATGAAGTGGTCATCTAACGTTTCCAAAAAGTGATTCACAGGTGTATATCCATCAAAGCTTGCTTATGGTTTCATCGATGCCCACATGGTCTGGGCGATGTATCCGAATCGTTCTAGAGTGGCAGCTGACATTTCTGGATTCTAAGCCGCTGCTGCAGGCACCTCAGATTCTTCTTAAAACTCAGCCAAGATTCTTCTTCTTTGGGCGCCACTGTCAGCAATTGTATGTCTTTTGACTTGCTTTGGAAACATGCTACGTCCTGAATAGTAGCAGGAAGTTTACTAAAGCCATGTTTAAGTATGTGTGGAATAGACAACACCAGCAGAAAGCGTGTACTGAACCCTTTATTCTCTATAAGATACAGGTGCTCCCGTACTTCGGGATACAGAGACCAACCACTTGTGGTCTGAACGTAAAAAAATATAAAACTACTAACTAAAATTCTAACTAAAAGCTAACTTTGAGTTAGTTTACAAATGCCTAACACTGAGACTGACCTTTTTAAAAGGTTACGTAGGTAGTACGCAAACTGCGGAAACTACAATACGTTTTAAATATCAAGAGGACGAAGCCTCTGGCCTTAAAAGCAAGCAGCAACTGATTAAAAACTCGTAAGAATGCAGTGGCAAGACGGCTCACTTCCCCTCTCTCTAACTCTTGGCAAAAAGCCACAACTTAAATACTTGGCCGTTAGCAAGTACAATTTGCATAAACAAGTTAACACATTAAATTCTGGTCGGAAGTGGAAAAAATAAGAAAAGATAGTACAGTTTTAAAACAAAATAAAGATCCTTACGCAGTGTCCACAGATTAATCAATGCTATTTGTGTAGGCGATGTCGCCCTATAATTTTGTGCCCGGAGGTATCAGAAAATAATGCTGACAATAAGAGAAAGCGAAAAGAGTCAGTAACGGTACAAATTACAATGTCCTCTCCCTTAGGTATGAATGAAGTCACTCTTATGACGTTAATGGTTGAAATAGTTGTAGGCACTGTAAAGTAGGTGGTCAGGTGCCTCTTGGATTGTGGATCTCAACGATCTTACGTTTTAAAATTCACAGTTGAAGCTTTAAATCTAAAAAGCTTCTGAGAATTTAACTCGTGCGTTATTTGGGGGAACAAGGACTGAGTCAAAATTTCACAAGAGATATTCTATAAGCCCGGTTGGAAAAAGCAGTGTACCAATTTAGTTTTCTGGATCAAAATACCATTTGTGGAGGTATACCACGCATACCTAAAGGACCGTTAGTGAAGGAATTAAAAAGACACCGAATTTGGATTTCAGATCTGGGTGAGGGTCACCGGAAATAGAAATCCTCATAGGGAGTGATATTTATGGGCAAATACTTACTGGTGAAGTAATTCAGCTTGAGGGTGGTTTGACAGCCATAAATACTAAACTGGGATGGACGCTGTGCGGGGAATCGAAAAGAACGATTATCCAAAGTTTTGAGAGTAATTGTGTTCTTAGTAAGTGTATGGGAGGGGAATCAGGCCAATATTCAAGATTTAATGGAAGAATATGGTGAGGTGCTGACCACCGACAAATTGACAGATCTAAGTCGCAAAAGGAGGGTTAGATCGCTAAAGATTATGAAAGAGATCTCAATAATTAGTTTACTCCAGACGAAAATTCTGTTGCAGCAGAAATTAAAAGGGGAGTGATTGTCAATTTGAGTATAAAATTAAAAGATACCGAGTGGTACAAGCCTTTTTCGAGTATTTATAAAATAGTTCGAGTATTCTGCTGGGTTCTACGCTTTGCTAATAAAACCTAAAGAAACCCTCGTATGCTTCGGATACCCTAACAGTAGAAGAAAAAACTATCGCCGAAACATTTTTGTGGAATTTAGAGCAAAGGAAACACTTTCAAGAGAAAGGAGATTCCGTCCACGGACTGTTGGTAGTGAGAGGCAATGACGGAGTCCTCAGAGTTGAAACTAAAAATTATTGAACGTGATAATGAATTCTGCTTCCTTTATCTATTAATTATAAGAAACAATTAATTTCTTTCGTAATTATTTTTTTTTTCTTACTGCTTTCCTTTTCAACCATTTTCTTCTTAGGGACCATAGTTATAGTACAGTTTCGAAAGAACAATCGTTAGATATAATTATGAACCAAGCTATGTGTCTGAAGAAAGCATGATGTGAAAGAAGTTTAAAAATGATAGAATAACGGAAAAATGCAAAAGGGCTGTATATTAAATTAACACAAAAAGGTCAAAAACTGAGGTGCAGGTACCATTAACGTGCGACTCTTCTGAGCTGGGCTGTACCCTAGCTGGGCAAAACCCACGGAAATGAAAGTACCTTTCGATTAATTTACAATCACCTCTCGTTAGCCATGTTGCGGATTAACCGGACTTTGTTCAAGATAAGTTTATTTTATCAATTTGAAACGATAGAAAATTTAATTTTATAAACTATAAAAGTAAGCCAAACTGTTTCCGACAAAACTTGTTGCTTCAATAAAGCTATATTGAGTATATGCTGCATTTTAAGGCATGTGATACGTGTTTTACATATGAAACACTACTTAAAACTGTGTTTCATACACAGCATGGTGCAATACTGTAATGCACTATCCTGCTTGTGCTTTGGTGAATTATCTTAAATAGTATTTAATGCGATGGATATTATAACTTATCTCTGCCATTGGGTTATGCTGAATTAATTGTATGAACTGTAATATTCGTATTGAGCATCATACTATGTAACAGAGATGTTCGAATAGATTATGAATGTTATTCAAAAATATTGTTATGTATGTTGAGTGCGCGCGAAAATGGCTAATTGTTATTCATTTTAATAAGTTTTTAATATTCCAAAAGATGTATTAAAAATTGCAGATTGCAGCATAATGTAAACAAGCATAAAGTAATCGGAATAATATATTGTGATGCCAAATAGTACATGAAAACGCGTAAAACTAACCTTGAGAGTATATAATGTTAATAATATTTGGAATGTTCTGCTGTATTTATGATACTGCTAATTTATACTATAAAAAATGCTAAATGAACACTAAATAGTACAGACAGTTACATAACATAAAATGTAACCTATGATAGAGAATTTTAATAGCCATATTTATGAATATGCCTTTTTTTAATGACTGTCTTCAGTCCGGCCAGGCCTTAGCCGATGCCTGGAAGTATATATTATATGTATATTGTTTCTTTCTTTTACAGGTGCAGCTGTAGTATTTATTCAGTTTGAAAATTAATTCTTAGGCCGTACGTGGTTTATGGTGGTCTCTGTACGAGAAATACAAAAAGGAAAAGAAAAAGAAACTTATACGTTGATGCCAGTTATAAACGGAGTATTTTTCGTTTCTAATAAAGTTTCTTCTGTTATTTATAGCATGTTCATTTTGTTTTGAATTCTCATTTAATTTACATAATTACTTAAACTAACTCTGCAAATTAATTTACTTGATACAGGTAAATCGTTCATAGTATATTTTGTCTTAATTACAACGTGGGTTATTGCTCTTTGCTGCACTTTCTTAGCTGTCCTCGGATTAGCGATGATTTTGGGTTAAAAGGGAATGTTGTCTGTAGTATTGCCATCAGATCGGAGGATGGATGCATATTAGTGTTTTCTTAGTCCTTTATATCGTTTTTCATGACGAATATTCCACTCATTAATCAGGTTTTTATTATTCTCTACAGGTTCAACAAAAGTCATCTACGGTTTTATCGGGAAATCTGTAGAACTGAACTGCACAGCCGGGCCTTTCTGTGATCAACTTACAGCACTTGTTTGGACGAAGGAAGACCAAAGTCAAAATCCAATCCACAGATTGGTTTTTTCATATTCCTTTCATCCTAAATTACCTAGCTTAATCGGAGAGAAATATCGCGAGAGAATAGACTTTGCTTTCAGTAATTATTATGCACGTCTGAAATTACATCACTTAACAGCTAAGGATGAAGGCATTTATACCTGCGAATTCTATTCGTTGGTGAATCCTCAGAATTGTAGTTATTTCTCTCCTTTTGTCAAGCTATACGTCCTGAGTAAGTTGTCGTTAAAGAGTATTTTTTATTTTTACCATCCACGCTTTTAAAATTATTTTAATAAAAATGCTAGATGATTACATTTTTTGCTTGTCGCGGCTTTGAAAAATGACGCCATGAAGCTTTTCATGAAAATGATTGCTAAGCAGGAGAGGCCATGACCAAAGTGCTCCAGTCCCTTGTTAATTTTTTGAGCCTTTGAATTGTTTTCGTACTTTCAATGTCCTCGGTTTCTGCATGGTATGCCACTCTCCTCCCGGTACCGTCTCGTTCTTATACCAGTTCCGGCATGGAAGACAACGTGCCTATCGGATCATTTTTACTTCCTTGTACGAAGTAAAAAGGAAGTATTGTAATCGCAAAAAGTTTCAGGCATCATATTTCAACGCAAATATCCGTTTTCACCGCTATCGAATGCAATTTAACGATGTTTTTACTTGACATATGTACGTAAGGACAGAATAAAGGACTCTTTTCCCAAAAAAATTGTAAAACTAATTAAAAATGAATTCTGAAGAGAATTTTTAGTGGCATCTGTGCGTACGTACGTGTTTATCTCGCATAATTCGAAAACGAGTAGCCTCAGAACGTTGCAATTTTGTATACAGGACTGCTATAACATGTAGATGTACACCCAGTATTTTCGTTGCAATCGGCCGCACCAAAAGTAAATAAATATATGTATATATACATCCACTCTGTTACTCGGCTCAGTGATCTGTTTCTTTATTCTTATAAAATTGTAAATTGTGCATTTTTTGCTTTAAAAATGATCGAATTATGCTGTTCTTATCTTCCAGTTAATGTTTTTATGCTTTTAGTAAATCCGTATGCAATATTTTTAGAATTATTAACAGTTTAAAACTTGTTTAAGTGCCGCTAAGCCTAATAATTTTTGCCATGTCGGCCGTTGCTTGTTTACATTTGAAACAACAGAATAGTAGATTTGTTGCCATTCTAGAGAAAGTTGACTCTAGAGAAAGTTGAAAGCTTCGCAATAACAAAGATAACATCTTCTTTTATTATTGCGAATTAAATCACGCTTAATCCATCTGGAATTTATTAGAGGAAATAAGTGTTTAAGATTTACTTCATGATTTTCAATACAGACATTTTGAGTTTTTATGTATTTTTGCCTTGTTGCGTAGTGAGAACTGAATTAATTGAATGAGAAATACTGAATCGTCTGTGAAAAACTGTTTCTTTTCTTCCCCCCCCTTTTTTTTTTTTTTTTTTTTTTTTTTTTTTTTGTGTCGTTCTTTCCTTAATTTCTTTTACACATCGTTTTAGATTTATTATAGTATTTGAATAGAACATGTGGCAACGATTAGATAATTCTTAACATGATATATATTTTGTGCATTCAGAATTAAAAAATAAGAAGAATAATTTTTATGAAATTTTAAAAATGCCTTACAATACATCCTGCAAGAGATGGCTCCACCAGAGCTCTAGTCAATAAAGTGCTTTCCATCCCTTCTAATAGATGGCGCCACACGAGCACTTCATTTGTTCAAAGTTTACTCATTCTTGGGACGGCGGCACAGGAGACTCCGTCGAGAGTAATCTCTGAGTTCTATCACAGCATGAGCACAAGTACTTCCATATTATTGGACACAACTTAATGGTCGATTGCCTCTTACTAAGTGATAAGACATAGACATAGTTAAAAAATGATTGAAACGTAGCGCTGTTAAGGGAACCTAGGGCCAGAGTGTCGCTATGGTAAACAAATATATTGAATTTTAAAGAGTGTCTTTATTCTATTGTGGGTTATGCGCAATTGGCGAAGTAGATTTAATTCAATCCAAAAAGTTTAAATGAAATGCTAGAAAAAATGCGTATAATTGAATATTCCGTACAAGAAAGTCATGTGGTGCACAAATCAGTTTTTTTTTAACAAGATAAAGCGATGTCGGTGTACTGATCATTGGTGCTGCGTCCTTGTATAGTATAATAAGAACTCCTTGAGAGCTCAAAAACGTTCACTGTGTCCTAGGCTGCAGACAATTAGCAACGTGTATTTAGTAAACCTAAATGAATATATTAAGGATTCTTTATTGTGTGTGAGTTGTCTAAATTATAGACGTTCCCTTTATATTCACTCTTAATCTTTAAAAAATGAATGATTAATGTTCGCTTATTTATTTAACTAAATATTATAAAATATGCGAGGATTATCTGCATGAAACAAGAAAGTATCTTTGTGGATATTTTTCTTGGAGAACTGGTTCGTACTTACATTATACCTGGTAAAAATTAAACATAAAGTTTAACGACCAAGGATATTTACTACCTACTCACAGGACTTTCATATGACAATATAGTTAATTAATTATCTGTGTAAAGAGATGGAGCATTTCCCATGCATACTTTTGTGGTGTAAATAGTAAACACATCCAGCTACAGTTGGGAAATCTGAGCTTGAGAATCTTCGGGAGAGCACAACTGCGATTTCTCGCATTTCGAAAAAATGTAATAGTCACATGCCTTTCTTCACTCGCCCTTTAAGTGAGGCAGAGCGTAAGAAATTAACGTATACCTCAATTCAGATTTTCCGCTGGGAAATGTATACGCAGAATCACTTAAGTGCACCAGTGGCATTATAGTAATAAGCCGGTCAGGCTATGCGGAATATTTGTGGCGTAAATTATCGTATTTTCCTTGTGTTCTTTATAGTGTAAATAATAGAGAGTACATCCTGCTCGCAACTGAAAGACACTGGTTCGAGTCTGGAGGGCGACAAAAATCATTTTCTGTGCTTCCCAAACCGTAATGCTAATGCGTCTGTGAAAATAGTGTTTTCGAAGCAAGAAATCTAAATCAAGAAATCTAAATTAAATTTGAGCAACGCATCTGCAAAGCAATAAACTCAACTTTTTCCACTGATTTTAGTCAGGTTTTTAAATGGTAACTAATACATCTGAATCTGCTTTTTCCGAATTGTGAAGAACTTACAGAAGAAAAAAGGAGCATTTTATATGGGAAGTTTTTTTCGATATTTATGCAGGTCGGTATCTGCTATTACAGATTTAGAAACTGGAAAACTGAGACGAAATAATGTAGTTATGGCAGGTTTCACTGATGATACCAAGCCAGACTCTTTTCCCGTGAGCATCTCGGCAGTCCTAGAAGCTAATCCAGATTCTTTAGGAGAGATTTCATTTTTAAACCGTTCTCCCTTTTCCCTCTAAAAGAAGGTGATGATGGCCTCTTTTAATTTCAACGTTAACTAATACCAGTTAAAGAGAACGCATATCTGTATTATGACCTTTTTTTCGGTTACCCCCGCGCGGAACATTATCGGACAACACTTATTCGTCTCATGTTAATTCTTACTGCATTTTGCGTCATGCGTTTACTAGTTTTGCCAAGATATAAAACAAGAAGCAATCTGCGATCTCCATCCGTGCATTTGGTCAAAAGATAACGAGTGTTTCATTTATCACGCAACGAAAGTGTATATAAGATGCAGACAAAAAAAAAAAAAAAATGCAATATGCACCAAGAAAGTGTTAAAATGAGAACTCGGTATAACTTCGAAAGAATTTACTTGGCTTTTTATTTAGCACGGTAATATGAAGATAGAATCAAGCTGCGAAGAATAATAATCTTAGATAGTAAATGCCCTCCGAAAATCAAAGATCTGTGTTATTATTTAACTAGCCTCGAAAATATATTTCTTTGCCCAAACCCGTCAATAGAATGATGGAGGTATACTAATGGATTTTGGCTAATAGCGGGCCCGACTTAGCGGATTATTACTAGGCTACCATTATTGGGTCTACCAGTGGCCACGTGGATAAGTGTGTGTGTGTGATTATGGCAAAGCCTCGAGGGCTATCTGCCTAAGGGGAGGGATGCCTTCGTGGAGGACTTTCTAATTGAAATTGGCTCGTATACATGTTACACATGGGGAAAACCACAAAAACGCCCATGCAGCCAACCGGTTCGCGGGATTCAAACCTCGGACCGAACTACCAGTGTTCAGTGACTTTACAGTTACCGCTTGGCCGCTGGTGGGCCCCACGTGGATAAGACTTCTGAACAATATTAATTCAACTAGGATTCAAATCCCAGCAGACCGGTTTTATGGATGCTTTCTTGGTATTCTAACCATGCGATGTAAATGATATTTCAGATTTTTCTCGAAATGTTCGTTTCGAAAGCATTGCTTTTCTTAGGGAGGATTCCTTTCTTTTCCTCGTGTGCTTTTATAATCAATTAACTTAACTCTCTGTTATCTTAAAAATTGACAAAATATGAATTCATTAAATGGGAAGTTTAAAAAATAGGTGCTCGGAATTAAGATCGCGACAAAGCAAACAAGAATTACCTACCTAAACAGAGGGACACTTTCGTAGTGAGCTTAATGGAAAACAGGATTTTATTTTAGTTACAAATGCGTTGCATTGAATAGGATTATTTAGATTGCATCAAAGTACGCCAGCACTATCTGCCTAACAGGAGGGATGTTTTCAAGGACAATTTTTATATAGAATTGGGCTCGCATTCACCTAACATATGACGGAAACCACGAAGACGCTCATGCAACCATCCTGTTTCATTCCATGCGAGCAAAACTACAAACCAGGCAGGCAGGTCATTCACCAGGATTTGTTTAAGTGGGAATTACCAGTCTTCAATGTCTTACCCGTTGTCCGCGGATGAGCACAACTAAGGGCTAAGAAATTATTGTGCCCAGCTACTTTTTCCGTAAAGGTTCAATAAACATTATCTTTTGCTTCACAAGATCATTTTCAGAAAGAATGTTTAAAAAGATTTTTGAATATTAATATTACATAAATTTCAATATAAATGCTGTGACTTTCATAATTAATTAATCAATAAAATTTTCTCTTTTGCAGAGCCAGGCCAGAAGATACCTTTTCGAGAAGAATCTGAAATATTAACGAAAAACGAATTTTCGAAAAAAAATTTAGTTGAAAAAATGGCGAGTTCCTCACCCAGAAGATTTCTGTTTTGGAATATCATGTTCAATATTTCAACAATTGCACTATTCGTATTGCTACAAACTTCGCTGTTCAAATAGTTCTTTTACGAAATAAAATATGTTTAAGAATTATACATAAATAATTTGAAACTTTGTAATTCATATTCTTTTCTGCAATATACACGTGGTTTTGTAATTCTGCTTGCATTATTATGCAATAAAACTTTTCCCATTAAAAAACGTTTACCAGAAATAAATTTGATGGCAGGGATTTTTGCAATGAAGTTTGGCAACTGTGGGTATAAAATCATTTTTTTTTTTTTTTTTTTTTTTTTTTTATTTTACAAGATTTACAAAATATTGTTGCGTGCGTACGGGTTCGTTATGAAATGAATGCACAAGTCCGATGAAAAATGAACAAAAATTTATTATTATCACAACAAAAATGCTTAAATTTTCTCAAATTATCATGCAGTATTACAATATCTCACAGTAGTTTTCTTTTAACTACTCAAATGTCCAATAGAACGTAATTCAAAACAGCTAAAGAACGCTAATCCGCGAATTCGCTACAATCAACAACAGTAGTTTTCTAAACAACAACAAACTAAGCAAACTACTGACAAACTTTTTCCCTCCTCCTTTATAAGATTTTAAAATCACGCGCTAGAATTTTCCAGTACTTTCTCGAAATCAAAAAGAGATATTTATTTATTTAATGCACGCGCTCTTGTATTTTCAATTTTCCGACTTAGCTTTCTTTTAATATTCGTCACGCGCTGCACTGCGCGAGAAATAAAACCATTTAATTTATAATTGAACTAACATTAGCTTTTTAAGTACCAAATTCGTAACAATATACATACGTATATAATAATAACAAGCCTGAATATGTGCATTTCTAAATTACAAAATTTACATTTTCATAAACTAAATAAATAAAAAAATTTTCTCCCAGAGGTAAATACCACCTTATATTATTAATTATGTATTTTTTTGGCCTATGCTGAATTGGAGAAGAAATTATTAGGTCTTATTTTAATTATGCTTAATATTCACTGTAAACTATCGAGTTTTCGTACCATCTGAAGCTAAAATCCTAGAGCAGCGGTTCTCAATATTATTTATTTATCAATGAAAAACAATGATTTTTAATGTCGGATGCTAATTATACTTCTCTTTTCAAATTATATCCGGTTATAAAACTTTCTAAAAGTGGGAAAAAGCATAAAATATTATTATCCAATTCTCCGATTATTAACACGAGTTTTTTTACTGTCTATCTTTTATCGCTAACAGTAAACAAACTAACATTTTGTCCTTGTAATCCTAAATTTAATTCATTTAACTTTCCAAAAATATCAGCTAACTATGCTAAACACATGAACCGTAATTCACTAAATAAAAATTTTTGCAATTCAAATTTTGAATCACAGAGGAAAATTTGAATTTCTGATTGAAGTTCAAACAGACAATTTAAAACTTTGCCTCCGGATAACCACCTTACCTAGTGTAACAAAAGCGTTTCATATTCACTATTGGCATAAAATAAAAAATATTGTTGAGTTTAAAGTTAGATTTTTAATGAAATTAACAATTTTTACAGCTTAATTTAAAATGATTTTCAGGCTTGCAGGGATTGTTTTGGCTACTAAAGCTTCACGATGCATGGAGTAGTGAGTAAATTTAGTCTCAGATGCCACTTTCTTTACCTGAGAAATAACTCCACAATGTTTTACTGTTAAAGCCTGAGCTTCTTCACGGCATACGGCAATGCACTTATTCCGAGAAATATCATTTTCAGACAGAAAATTATTAATTACTTCTTGCAAAGCTCTATCATGAAGAAATTCAGAAAATAAATACTCTTCAGCAATTCGTTTATCTTCTTCAAAACGTATGTAAACTAATAATTGAACAAATTTCGTTATACCAGCACTTTCATCCAATTGCAATGCGAAATACTCACTGTGTTTCATTTTTTGAATAAATGTCCCTTTTATGCAATTTGCCATTTATTAAATTCGGGGACTTACTGTATCATTTGATAACGGAATATCGTTAAGTTCGTTAGCCGCTTTTTTATTGAATAATGTTAAAACTATACCTTTAGCTGCTGGTAATATCAGGTTTTCTTCAATACTGTGACCCTGTCCAGTTTTAGCAATTCTTACGCTTACAGGTAATAGCTTCCATATCTTTTTCATTTCAAGTAACAAAACATTTCATTACTTTTCTACTGTTTTTAAACTCCGATAAATTCATCTTAAAGAATTTTCAGATTTATCCTTTAAATTTCCATGCTTAGGTTCAAGATGTCTTTTAAGAAACGATGGTTTCATACTTTGATTGGATGATAGTTTACCGCAAATAACACATTGATGTTGAGGGTCCATTTCATCTCCATTCCAAGTAAATCCAAATGATAAATAATTTTCATTATATTTTCTATAAACAATTTTTCTTTTCCTTCCAATATTCATATTGCTAGTAGATTGTCCTGGTTCCATCACCTGTGAATCTTTACTTTTCGCTTAGCTAATCCTAGCCATTTTTCCATTTTGAAAATCTAGGTTTGTAATTATTTTTTCGCAAATATTTAAATGCACAATATATTACGAGTTCTTCAAAAACAGACGACGATATTCTCAAATTCTGTAGAAAAGTAAGGAATACATGGCCACAAGACGACAAAATACCTGTTGTTAAAGACAACAAACCGAAGGAAAAAAATATTTCTCATTGAAAGTGGAGCAATATGAGCTTGGAAATGGCGACATAAAGTGATGACATGTTAATAAATATAAACTCTAAGAGAATTAATGAGGTACTATTATCTTTGTCATGGGATCTTATTTTTATTTCCTATTAAATACAGCACCTATTTCAATCAGTCCTTTTTAAAACATCATTTATGGCAAATTTGGTTATGTCTACGGCTAAAAGTATATTTTTAAAAAGTACAACATGGGAAAAACCACGAAATGTGCCATGCAGACAGATCGTTCGTCTGCTGCTAAGCGGCTATTGACTTTGAACAAAGATCAGATCGCAAAAATTTGCGAGTGTTAGAAAAAAACTCAATCAGGATGTTGGGGGTTTAATTTTTGAATTTAATAGTTAAAAATACTTTGCTTCTTTGAGTACCACCTATTTTTCGTTTGCGTATCACTGGTTGAGAGCCCCTGTCCTAGAGCACAAGCTGATAACAACAAAACTGTAGAAGCAAATTAAATATTTTTCGATTCTTCAGCTTGACGCTTTGCTTGAAGAAGATTAAGGAAACTTAGTTCAGTTACGTGTGGTGAGCCATACAATGGTTTCTAAATTTAATTGCAAATCAAATATTAACAATTAAGAGCCGGGATCCTATGCGTTTACTCACATAGCCACAAATGAAAATAATTCAGCAACAATTAGCTAAGCAGTCCAGACAAAAATATCTTAGTCACTGTGCTCCATGCCGAAGTTGCCAAATCTTTCTCTCTAAACTTAAATTCTCGCTCTTTATTTCAACTTATTTAATTTTGCGCTTTCTCGTGGAGTAGGCAAAACATTATAAGTGCAAGATAGATTCGAAGAAATAGCGTATTAATTAGAATAAACTTCATAAATTTGGCACATTTTTTTAAAACAAATCTTTCTTCTAGAAAACTTTCTTTTACAGTCTGTCACTTTCATGAAGTGCATAATTGGCTGAAACGCCGGATGGTCACCTTACAAATGGCTACCTCTCATTAAGCTTTCCGAACTTGCACTTGCGAAACCTTTTAGCAGTGTTCACACAATGGAATTTCATTTAAACTTACTTCCTCGAGCTTAACGATCTTGAACTGGATTACATAAATAACCTTAATCGATAATTAATAACATTTATTTTAAAAAAGTGAGCATACCTTTCTAAACATTTTTTACTGCTACTACCCACAGCCATATACGTGCAACTAGTTGCAACCTACAGGCAAGTATTTGCATCCTGCTGGAATACTTTGCAACTAACTGTAGTATATTTCAACTTAAATTTCATTTGCTATTAATTATCAGTTTGTTGTTAATTGTGATCCTAATATATATTTATATTGACACATAAGAATGTCTTGCATTGAATTGGGGTCAATTAATGTGGTTCATTAACTAATAATTGGGGTTAATTAATTTTCAACATTATGGTAAATTAAAAAATAATTAATTGTGGTCCACTGTATATAATTATCGCAATCCGCAATTATACTTTGCAGTAAACTTGGACAGCATGGAAATTAACTGTGGCACTTTTGCAATTAATAGTCCCCCTGAGAAAACGAAAGAGAGAGAGAGAGTAAACGTATAAGAAAATAAATAATAAAGAGACACATTCAATAACAAATAATTTATTTATAAATCTATGCAAACATATATATATATATATATATATATATACGTATGTGTGTATGTAGATACATGTTTGTAATTAATTCAAATTAAATTAATTAATAAATATACACTGCTTATTTTTGCTAATAATAAATGTAAATATATGTATATAATTAGTGTCGAGCTATGAAAATTTATCAAAGACCTTGCACTCTCTGTTACGAAAACAAACTATAACATCGTAATTAAATGTTTTCCTTTTTTACTTCCTTCTACGAAGTAAAAAGGAAGTATTGTAATCGCGAAAAGTTTCAAACAGAAGATATTTCAACGAAAATATCTATTTTGACCGCTATCGAATGCAATTTAACGATGTTTTTGGGTGACATTCGTACGTAAGCACAGAATAAAAGACTCTTTTCCTCCAAAAAAAATATAAAACTGCTTTAAAATGAATTCTGAAGAGAATTTTTCGTGGCGTCTGTACGAACGTTTGTACCTACGTACGTATCTCGCATAACTCAAAAACCAGTAGCCTCATAACGTTGAAATTTTGTATATAGGACTGCTAAAACATGTAGATGTGCACCTCGTACCTTGGTTGCAATCGGCCGCGCCAAACCTATATACAGTGTCTCACAAAAGTGATGGGACACTTGTGCTTTACAAAAGGAAACTGTAATAAAATAAATTTAAAAAACATGTATAAATTTTTTGTGGGTGTGTTTCATACTTAATTTTAGTAACAATTATTACATAACATACATTTTCTCAAAATATTAAAATAGTAAGTTAATAAAAATAC